AAAGCCTTCTCTGCAGAAAATGTCTACGGTGCCAAAAATGTATTTTGAGCAGAAATGTCTGAGCAGTGGCCATCAACAGACTTTTTAATAAAGCTGCCGTGGGGGCAGTTAAAATGGTCAAAGTCACATTGAAATCGGAGTTGAACAAATTGATAAATTTCAGATGTCATCATTGTTGGAAAATGCATGTGCAGTTTCAGCTTCATTGGCAGAGTGGTTTCTGAAGAGAAGATGTTAACTGCGAAGACTCAAGATTTTTGGTATTTTGCAATATGACAAGTGGCAGACTTATTTGATTTCCGATAAAGGCGCCTTGAAGAAACTTGTTTCGACATAAGGTGACCATTTCACTCACCAAGGCACAACCTCTGAACTTGTTAGTGTTCGAGAAGATGTTTTTTAATTTTGTTTTTAAAACCAAAACACGTATGGCTATGTTGAAATTCCTATGTTGATGCCTTCAACAAACGTGAACCTACTTAGTGTAACAAACATCCACACAACATTTCAACTGAACCCATTAAGCCATTTCGAAGACGTCGAAATTGTGACAAGGTTATGGATCGTTCACTGAAAAATAATGTGTTTGAATAAGTAACTTTGCTCGTACTTTCAGAGAAACAAAATGTACATCGCGTACATGTATGTCTTGAAGCACTGAATGAAAACAATGTCCTGTTTCAAACTGTTTCCGGTTTTAGTTTGTTCAGGTGCACAAGCGTCGTTGTTTCATAGCCACCCACTATGACTTTACATGGTCAGACATGTATATGTTAATATTGTACTTGGAGTACTGAGTTTAGGTAATCATCTTGCAACGATTGCTTAATATATCTCAGATGGATCGAATTCCTAATTATGTATATCTTTCCGCTTTCAGGGTCACAACATCTGTAGCCAGATTATTGGAAAAAATTAATACTAATCATAAGAATATGATAGCGGATTGAGGTATATTAGATTGACCTGAACTAATTATTTGTTCTTCAGGAAGGTGTTGCCACCTCCATTCCTACCCACGCCCGTTTAAAACAGAAATGATTAAACAAGTGTATGTTGTGTGAAAAGTTAATGGTGTATGTTTTGTTTAGATTTTCGTGAAATGATATATAATTATTGGAAATATTTCATTTATTTTAAGCATTTGGTCTGTGCGACATTTGTGACTGCAATATATGTTATTGATTTCGATTTGCGTGTTGTATATACCACATCAAAACGATGTATTATATGACGCTATATTGCCTGTCGTGTCTGCCAACTTGATATGATTGAACAGTGCAATCCTATAGTGGAGTTCCCGACATCTTGCTTCGACTTATTGTGTGCAAGTTAACAATGTTGTTTTATTAAAAATGGCGGTTTAAGGTTCTAATACACAGATTGTATTTGGGTACGATATATTTTCAAAATCATTAAATATTCCTTAAAATGTTTTTGAGATTTCATGTACAGTTACACTCATATTGTTCACTATTTTGGTTAAACACGGACCATAAACAAGTTGTGTTTGGTAAAGATATCTTTTCAAAATCATTTAATACTGTATCAAATAGCAAAGGATCTTGCTTAAAATGTTTTTGAGATCTCAAGTACAGTTACACTCCTATTGATCTTTGATATGGACAAACACGGACCATGATGGCGACTTGGCACTGAGACGTCGTTGAAAAGATCCACAGGTAGAGCATAGACAGTGATGAATGCAAGTTTGTGTATGAGCTAATGAGTGATGTTTTACTAGTCAGCAGTTCTCCAGCAATATTATGAAATCTTAGCCAGAGTCAGTGATTGATACCATGAACGACGATCCATGATTCATAATCAGTGGGTATTGTGGCGATCTTTATTCGGCTTTTATGTCAAGTTTCAACATTTGGTGCTCAACCGGAATTACCACGGATGCGCATACATATAACTGTAATAGATCTGTGGCTTCTTAAAGTCCCGTTAAATGGATTTTAACAAATACCGCGAAGCCATAAAACCATAACATTGTTGATATTAGAATTTACGAAATGGGACAGGAGTAGGTACTGCTTTTGTGCATTGATAACACCGACTGTGTGCTCACAATAATGCATAAAGTTTACAAGCGGGTCAACGATAGAACATCAAGGTATGATTGATACAAATAAACCACCAGAATTTAAAGACACAAGTGACAGTGCTGAGTTGGCAGAAGTTCGGTCAGCTTCATTTCTTGACTCTCTCTAAATTAAGGGCATCAGCTAGAATTGCACCGTTCCAACTAGACTAGTCTCTTCGTGAAAACGTCACTTTCAAAAGGCGAGGTTCTGGTGAATACTGCATCATTTTGTCATGCCTTTATTGTTACTGTGATTTTTTTATTAAGAAAATAACAAAACTAAAACATGAGGTAAGCATGTCGAATTCTAGTGCTGTTTGCTCCAACAGAGTACTGGATTCCATTCAAGAGCAATCCATAATGTTAAAATACAGCGTGTGATTGCATGAAAGGGAGCAATTGTTTGATTTTCATGGGAGAGGGGAGGAGATTTTTTCTATAACAAAATAATCAAGTCTCTATTTTACTGTAAACAATTGTGTATGCCTCACAAATTACTGAACGAATGAAGTGTCTTTTTCCTAAGTGTCCTAAGAATACATTCTGTTATTTCTACATATTCCATATTTGTAAAGAATAAATGCATTGTAAATGGTAAAATATTTATTAATGCTTTCGTATTGTTATCTTGTTAATATGCATTGAGGACTGCAGCCAATATTCAATATTCAAAACGTCCAAATCTGTAAAGAAAATTAGCTCTAATAGATATATATCTAATTCCGCTCTAAGATGGAACTCCGAGGTCTTAGAAAAGGTTGCTGGACAGGGGGTGTCATTTGAATACGCTGTCGGAACCTTAATCCTTCTTCCAAACCGCCGCCTGTTCTAGTAGACAGAGCGTCTTCCCGGAAGCCCTGTGGTTCGATGCCTTAGTTGTTTGATACCGAAAGATGTTGAAGGGTGGTTCTGGCTGTCACCCTATTTGGCGTTTGGCAGTAAGGTTATATAGCAGGGGTTTGGTCGGCTCGTAGTCAGTATACTGGGTGGCTGGGTTGTCCATGTAAATTTGGGGATAGTACCTCAGTGGGCGAGCACTATAAACCCGGCATTAGTCCGGAATATCCGACAAACAGCGTACGAATCTTGGTAATCTGCCGGCTGCACTAACAGGGACCAACTTTTGCAGCATCACCTCCTTCCTGACACTCAAAGTCAAATGTAAGATTTTGCAACATGATAACGCCAGGCCGCACACGACTCGCATCACTGGCATCTTTCTAGCCAATAATAATGTAAATGTCTTTCCTTTGCAATCCAGATTGCCAGATATGAACGCAATTGAGAAATCTTTGGGAAGAACTCGACCGACGTCTACGACAGCGTCAACAACAGCTTGAAACAATTTATGAACTGGCTCGAACACTGCAAGAATGGAGAAGGATTCCCGAGGACAGAATTCAAAGACTAATACAGTCAATGCCTAGACGTTGCCGTGCGGTAATGCAAGCACATGGTGGTCATAACAGATATTGATATCTGCACAACATCCGGGTCTTATAGATTCAGGAAAATCATATAGACAAACTTTGTTGGTCCAATTATGTGAAATTTTATTGCAGAACACTTGTTCATTCTCTCATGCTTTTAAATAAACCAAAAAACGTTTGACGTTCCCAGTTATGCGTTTCTTACGGTGTTAATCAAGTGTTTACACTCACAAGAAAACACTTCTACAATATATGCTACTATATCTTCCTGAAATTGGTATATGGTTCCATACTTCAGACTTCAATGAAGACCGACCCGTGAAGGTTCGGGGTAGAATAGGTCTCCAGCAACCCATGCTTGCCGTGAAAGGCGACTATGCTTGTCGTAAGAGGCGACTAACGGGATGGGATGGTCAGTTTTGCTGATTTGGTTTATGCATGTCATCGTATTCAAGATGCGTGGATCGATGTACATGATGTCAATCACTGGATTGTCTGGTCCAGACTCGACTACTTACAGGCCACCGTCATATAGCTGGAATATTTATTGCTGAGTGAGTCCTTAAACAACAAACAAAACAAACAAAACTATAAACAAAGAAATGCATAACCTGCATCACATCCCTCAACGTGAAATAATCGTGAGATAATTTCGCCTATCTATACTGTTTGTGCCTTTGACAGTTTATAACACGATACAGACAGGCATGTATTTTCAGATCTTACCCTATGTACATGACGGAATAACGGGATAGTCTATCTTAATGAGGAACTATCATGAATGAGTACAAATGTATCATCAAGTGATGTCATTGGTATGTATAAAGCGCAACGGAAAAAAGTATGTTTCGTGTAGTATCCGTGAATAGTGAACATATATTAATATGAATTGATGAAAATCATAGACATATAATACTAAACATGATCACAGATCAATAGTCACGGTAAGGGTTTAGTGATGTCTCACGCCTTGTGGGCATGTGAGGCCAATCGTGGCATCCTTCCCGAATAAATATAGAGAGTGAAGTGAGAAAAATGTGTGTGGGATGAAAAGGTTATAGGAATAAATGGGAATTACCTGTATGAAATATAGGAAGTTTCAAATACCAATGGCATAATGTACAAATGACTCACTTTTATTCACAATATTTTAGACAAAACTGGCCTGGTCTATGTTTGACTGTCACAGAGTTTTATGTCATCTTCCTGGATGCAAACACGCAAAGAAGACATGATATACTTTGGCAAACTTGGAACAGAGGTATTGCAGATTCATCTCAATGTTCAACACATAGAATCTTCAAAACTGAAAATCAGCTTGAATCACATTTACTACATATTTCCTTCCTGTTAAAATTAGCACACTCACTTTTAACATATGTACTAAAATAATTATGTTGGTATTTCCATGATTATTGTAACAGTGCCAAAGGCATATGTTTTGTTTGTATGTACAGAAACTAAGGTGGTATTTCACCTTCTCAATCCCGTAGGAATTTATTATCAAAAAAGCTAAATTTGTCCCCATTTCGATATTTTCCATAAACGTAGTCTGGCATAGGGTCATATTCAAACATCTGAAACTCGGGTTCAAAAAGCTTCCTCAGTCTGACCTTGGCCTCATAGGTCAGTGACCCATATGCTTCTCTGAGTGCTCTCTTTTTCCCCTCCGATAAGACTTTAGGATCAGACTCATTGTGCGCCTTCTGTGCTAACTCATTGAATCTTTCAAATGTCACATGATTATCTTCTGCTTTCAGTGGAAATGGGAGATCCATAGATATCATTCCTCGAATCTGCCATCTTTTCCAGGTTACACGAAGTCCTTCAATAAGTGTCACTCCACATCTTTCCATTTGCATCCGCCTGTGTGTAAACACATTGAACGCATTTGTGTACATCATACTTGGCACCCCTTCTAGACCCCAATGTAAAATAGCCTCCCTTGATTTGTCATATTTCAGAAGTCCCATCGCGTCACTCACAAACACCATGTCATCCACAAACGTCTCCATCTTTCCTATATAGTCATAGTCAACATTACAAAACCCGCAGTGTCTGTAAATAGGATTAAAATGTCTATCAATAACCATTTTGTTGTCGTTGCTGTAAAGGATGAAGTCCACAAACTCCGCAAAAGTAACGTCGGAGCCACACGTTGCGTTTCCTGTACTGGAATTCTCCTTACCGCGAACAGTCTCGGCGGCTTTAGATCCCACCTTTTTCCAATACATAGGGTTAATTGAGAAAATCTTATCTACATATCCCGACAGTAATCTTGTGTATGGGTTTCTTACGAACGTGAATAGGGTGTGTGGTGTATTTAGCTTTGGTTCTGTTATTCCAATAACTATTTTGCTATGGGAGTCCTCTCCTATAATTGACTGAGTATGACTCTGATAAGCAGCCTCAACATGCTTCCAGTAAGTACTTCCAGCTTTTTGTATGACACACATTGCAGAGGTTTTATGGTTATTTGGATGCGTCAATAACATTTTTCGTGACGAAACAGTGCTCCCAACACGATCACAAGCTCGTTTTAAGATGTCTTTTCTTTGGGCGAATCGGCACTCCAGCTCTTCTTTCATTTGTGGACTTTGGTCAAGAGGACAGTTTAAGTCTCTCAGTCTCTGTAAAAATATAACAGAGCATCAGAAATAGTACTATCACGTCCAGCGAACATTTGTGTTTTGTATACTTGAGACAACATGAGTGTTGCCATTGTTTTCTGGAGCAATTCATTATTTCAAAACAAGCCCAGATCCTTCCCCGAATAATCAAATAATCCCATTCTACCCAGAATCACCCAGAACGCTGTTGACTTAATTAAAAAAATTCTTGTTTACAGACATAACAAAATACGAATTCATACCAAACGTGTGTAATATTGTGACTGTCATTGTGTGACCCAAACGTTAATGGAATTAAATCTCGAACTGAAAATGATCGACTTGTTATCTAGATGTTCAAGTTTTACCACTGTGACAAATAAATAGTCGAGTTTCCACGAGACAATCCAAAACGTCAGTCCTAGGGAATCACCAGTTTCTATTATCAGTCCACAAGGGAAACTAGTATGACTCATCACTGAAATCAGTATGACACCAGGTGTTCGCGAAAAGGTTACACATGACCACCAGATCTGAGTTTTGTCGGCTCTTACGACCAATAATAAATATCGTTGTGGGGGCTAATTATAAACGGGTACCAATTACTGAAGCATATGTTGAAGCAAGTTCAGCGCCCCAACTTGGGAAAATGTTTTATACATGTTTTGGAAGGGTTTTGTCACTTTATTTACACGTTTTTCATATTCAACAATGGTTGGGGGCGATTTCGAAGTCGAAGATCATGCTGCTGACTTATGGCATTATTGATAACACTTATATCCAGGACTGATGCTGTTAAGTTGGGCTCCGTCAGTAATCAGTTGGTTGGACTGCCTCAATAAACGGTAATAAAAGCCATAACACTTTTACCAGGGTAGGTAATTTGCTCCAACCAGATAGCATGGTAGGGACACGTTCAATTTACATAAGAAAACCATACGAATTCGTGACAAATTATGTGTTTGGTCATGAATTCACGATGATCGCATACAGACTCCCCTCAAGTAAATAAATACCTCATTGCCAAACAGTTTAGAAGTTTGGATGTTGCAATTGCATATCTCTTCTTGTCATTGTACACTTCAGTTAAATTCACATCATTGCAACCTCCACGTGGTAAGTGCTGGGTAACGCTAATCGCTCTTCCCCCGTGTGGACCCGGGGTAGAATGTGTACTCAACATCCCATTGCTTGTCGTATGAAGCGACTAAACTGGGCAGCCCGTTTGCCGTGGGTTGCGTCCCTGTGTCGGCGGAGGAAGGGAGTCTGGTAGTTAAGGGCACTAGTTCCTGGAACTGTGTTCCTCTGCCCAATACACTACTTCGACCCTTACTTAGCTGAGACGGGTGGTAGGGTGGGTTTGGTCTTATCAATCGGCTGGCCATGCCAAACCCTGTGCGTAATATAGTAAATGCACACGTGTGTTATATTTTAATGTATATTTTGGTCTTGGTCATGCATAACCTTGTATGAATTCACAATTTTGGATGGAATAAATTGCCTATAGTCTTATGCCAGAAGGTGGTGGCTCATGGGGCAATCTGGTGGAGTTGACCTCTGTATTCTGTATGTCTCCACTTTCTTGTCATGGACTGAGCCAGCCTGGCACTACATCTGGTAGACAAATATAGCTAATCAAGTCATATTTGCTGGAGTATAACATCCCCGTATCCCTGGTGTTTGCATGCTAGAAATCCGATGCGCTACAACATTGTCCTTGTTGACACTCGATGGTGGGTAGGGAGCAGGTATGCTGAAACACTTTTCTTTCACCATGTCAACCCAACAGCCTCGTTCAATTCGCAACGACAAAAACGACTTGAAGATTATGATTCTGGAAACATTCATAACAAATACTATTTATGGGCCCGATTCCTGGTGATCGAGGCTGCTGACAAACAACTTTTAAAATTGAATCCATTCCTTATTTCAAAAGCTATTAACGGACATTGTCAAGAAGTGAAAAATGTAACTCGTCTCCGCAGTGGTTCCATTCTTGTGGAATGTGTGAAGAAGCAGCAATCTCTTAATCTCTTATCCATCAGTCAATTTGTTGAGGTTGCTGTTTCAGCACATAAGACTCTATACTCCAGTCGAGGCATTGTTCGTGACAGAGCTCGGTGCCTTTCTGACATGTCCGAACAAAAACTGTTACAGAGTTTAAGGGTCAAGCAGTGACAGCTGTGAAACGTTCTACTGAAAAGATCGACTGTGTTATCACTCCCCGAACACTTATCTCTTCACATTTGATCGAACAACTATTCCTCGTTCAATTAAAGCTGGTTGTGTTAACATCGGAGTGGAGGTGTAGGTCCCCAATCAACTCCGATGTTTTACTTGCCAACAGTTTGGCCATGGTTCCAAGTCCTGTGATCGCCCTAAGATTTGCAAGCGTTGTGGTGGTAAACATGACAGCAACGAATGTAGGGCAGATGTCAAATGTGTCAACTGTAATGGCCAACATGAAACCTGGTCAAAGTCCTGTCCTGTATGGAAAACTGAGTCACAGATATTGAAACTGAAACACCACAACAATATTTCGTATCTGGAAGTAAAAAAACAAGTAACTAACCAGTTACCATCAACTATTACTTATTCTGCTGCAGTGTCTTGTTCTTTTTCCACTTCTTCAATCGAATGTCAGACTGAGTTGACATGGGTTCAATTTGATCATCCAGTTGAAACAACATCTGTCATTAGCTCAACAAATCAGATTGCCAGCCCAGTACATCATCTTCAGAATCACTGACTGAATCACAATCTTTACCAGTTATTGAAAAACCAGGTAATGTTCATATGACAAAGACAGAAAGAAACAACTAAATAGACAGCATCTTAGGACATCCTCTCCTTAAGAGGTGCCTGTCGATAACTCCTTTTGACCTTTGGATATGGAGGTAACTCCCGTCTTCAGAGGCCAGTGCTAGGAGTTCATCTTCTTCACGCTCGCGTGTGAGGTCACCTATTGAGCCGCCATGACTCAAACGCCTCATATGACAATTGTAGAGCACTCAGGGAAACCTTAAATGAGATACAATTGCTAGTTCAGGACTTCAAACCATCAGCACTGTGTCTCCAAGAGAAGAGACATATCTTAAATATAACGATGTATTTGATTTAAGGCAATACAATTGCTATCATTCGTTTTCACAGCCAGGTGATAAAGCTACTGGAGGTTCTAATTGATCAAGCAAGGCATCATCCATAGCACTGTTCCACTCAATACAAATCTTCAAGCTGTAGCTTTCCGACTTACATTGCACATTGCACTTACTTTGTGCTCCTTATATATTCCTCCTTCGACTACTCTTCAGCAGGCTGATCTTCAGAATCTCTATGATTGGTTACCAAAGCCCTGTATCATCATGAGCGATTTATATGGCCATAACCCTCTATCGGGAAGTCCAAATACAAACAGTAAGAGAAAAGTGCTTGAGGACTTTAATTTCTGACAATAATCTCTGCATATTTAATGACGATTCAAACACTTATTTACACTCTGCTACTGGAACATATTCAGCACTGGATCTGTCAATCACAAATTCAGACCTTTACAACGAATTTGAATGGTCAGTTCATGATGACCTCTGTGGGAGTGACCATTTCCGAACCATTCTTAAACTATTAACCCTACTGACCATCAACTAACAACACGGTGTAATTTTACAAAGGCTGATTATATGAATTATTATATTCTGAAAATTTATCACCTGACATTTTTCAACATGTTCACGATCCGATACAGTTTTTAACGGACATGCTGAATGAAACTGCTGATGAAACAATTCCCAAGTCCTCTGCAAATCCACATATTCGTAAACCATGGTTTATCAACGAATGCAAACAGGCTCGAAAATATAGGAAGAAAGCGGAAAAATATCTCCGCCGCCATCCTACAGTCTATAACTTAGACAAGGTTAAAGTTACAAATTACACGACGTGCTTTTAAACAAAATAAGTGTCAGTCTTGGGGGAACTATGTCTCCAAAATAAATTCCTGCACGCCCATATCCAAGGTGTGGAATATAATACAAAAAATAAAAAGCAAAGGTTTAAAATCGTCTGTTCACCATCTTAAGGTAGGTAACACGTTATTAACGGATAAAACTAAAATTGCAAATAAGCTTGGAGAAACGTTAGCAAACATTCTTCAACGTCTAATTATGTCCCGGAGTTTCAAAAAATTAAGAAACAACAGAAAAAGGTCAAAGTAAATTTCACTTCTGATAATGGTGAAGACTATAATGAAGTCGTCTCATTACATGAGCTACACACCGCCCTTGGGCAAGCTCATGACACAGCAACGGGAGCTGATAACATACACTACCAGCTTTTAAAACATTTACCTGAATCATGTCTGGAGACACTTTTAGATATATCTGATCAAATATGGACATCACGGAATTTTCCCCCTTCATGGCATATGCCATTGTAGTCCCAATACCAAAGCCTGGCCGGGATCATACAGATCCCTCTAACTATCGACCTATATCCTTAACCAGTTGCGTGTGTAAAACCATGGAACGAATGGTGAATAATAGATTAATTTGGTATCTGGAAACCAATAATCTAATAACAAATATCCAATGTGGTTTCAGAAAAAATCTAAGTACCATCGACCATTTAGTACGATTAGAATCCTTTGTAAAAAATGCTTTTGTAAACAAAAAACAGGAAGTGTCAGTCTTTTTCGATCTTGCGAAAGCCTGTGATACTACTTGGAAGCATGGCATTCTAAAGGATTTACATGATTTTGGTTTGAGAGGCCGTTTGCCTCATTTTATATCACAGTTTTTAACAGACAGACAATTTTAAGTCCGAGTGGGCTCAACCCTGTCTGACCATTATAATCAGGATCAGGGTGTCCCACAAGGCAGTATTTTGACTGTAACATTATTTAGTATTAAGATAAACAGCCTCTCAAAGGTTTTGAATGATTCAGTTGATAGGTCTTTATTTGTGGACGATTTGTCGCGGGAAAAACATGCACACTATTGAGAGACAACTGCAAATGTGTCTCAATAAAATCCACAAATGGCCGCTTGCTAACGGCTTCAAATTTTCTAAAACTAAAACTAATTGTATACACTTCTGCAGAAAATATAGTCAACACAATGACCCAGAACTATTTCTATCTGACACACTCATCAAAGTTGTTGAGGAGATTAAGTTCTTGGAGCTTATTTTTGACCGCCACCTGACATTCTTGCCACATATAAAATATGCATAGGCAAAGTGTCTGAAAGCACTAGACTTGCTGAAAGTCGTATCACACTCTAAATTGGGTTGGGATCAGACAACCCTCCTCCATTTGTACAGATCTTTGATCCGCTTAAAATTGGACTTCGGTTCCATCATTTATGGTGGAGCCATTAAAAGTAACTTACAGAAACAAGATTCAACTCATCACCAGAGCTTTTGAGGCTCTGTCTTGGAGCTTTCAGGACCTCTACTGTTGTTAGTCTGTTAACTTGCACAACAATATGTCACAAAATTAAAATCAAACCCGTCAAATCCAGCATATGATTGCATTTTTAATCCTCTCTACGAGGAATTATTCCAAAGTCGAAGCTGGTTCCACCTCTGGGGATCAGATTACAACCGCATATAACAGCAGCTCATATTGACCTTGATATCATTGCACCCTACCGATTACTGCCTACGCCTCCTTGGCAATTAGTCAAACCAGAAGTAGACCTTACACTTCCTACTTTTAAAAAATCTGAGACAAACCAGCTATTTTTTCAACAACAATATGTCCAGTTACGCTCTAAATATAATTCTCACCGCTCCATCTTCACAGGTGGATCCAAGGATGGCGGCAAAGTTGCCAATGCCACCATCATTGGTTCAAAAACTAGTTCTTCTAGATTACCAGATAACAGCTCAATATTTACTGCTGAAGCTAAAGCTTTTCGAACAGCATTGACTTATATTCAGAAACAAACTGCATGTAAACACTTCCCCATTTTCTCCGACTCTTTATTATGCCTACAGGCACTTAAGACTGTCAACTCGAATCACCCGTTAATACTTGATATTTTAGAACTCTATAATAATCTTGCTACTGGCCAATACGACATCGTCCTTTGTTGGTTGCCTAGTCATGTTGGTATTGCTGGTAACACACGAGCTGACGCTGCAGCTGAACCAGCTCTTGATAAACCAATGTCTCATCTTTCCATTCCCTACAGTGATTTTAAGCAATGCATCAAGGAATATACTCGTAGTTTGATGCAGAAAAGATGGGACACCCAAAGTACAAATAAACGTCATGAATGTAAACCCAAATTAGGTTACACCTACTTGGGGTGCCAGTCCAGACATGACGATGTTGTTCTGCGACGATGTCGCATTGGCCACAGTCGCTACACACATGAATATCTCTTGAAAGGTGAGGATCCTCTGTTTTGTGTCCCTTGTAACGAGAGAATCACAGTCAAGCACATTTTTTGCTTGACTGTATAGACTTTTCTCTCACAAGGGATACGTATTTTCATTCAACTTCTTTAAAGGATCTTTTCATAAATATAAATGCTCGTTTAATTCTAAAAAAATTAAAAGAAATAGAATTATTTGATAAATTTTGAATTTTGAATTGTTTTAAATTAGTGTCAACTGAGATAAATGCAGTGCCACTGAGGGGAAGTAGTGTAAAATTATTGTCCCCCTGAGTGTGGCACGTGAGTCCATCTATATTGAAGTATTAAATATCAACCAGTGTTTTTATTCCTTGATCGTGCTTTGATTTTTTAATATTGGTTAACATTGCGTACAACCACTCGTGACCAAAGCGATGTCATAAATCCTGCTGGGAATCATGTAGGAAGCAAAAGCACTGTAAGTCCCCATGATCCCCAGTTAGGTGGTTTCGCGTTGGTTGCCAGTGGTCTATAGCCTGGTTTTACTTTGTATTAAATAATTAACCGAAAACTTCTTTGTTTTACTATTGCTCATGTATGTTTTATGTCTACACTGTGATATTTACCTTACGGTTTTACTGTCCTTTGTCGACAGGAATTTTATAATAATAAACTTGTTCCCATCGCGACATGGCTGCAATATTGCCGATGCGATTTAAAATTATAACTCACTCACTCACTCACTCACTAAAATAAGCAGGGAAGTGGTCCTGTCTGGTCGCACGAAATCCTGATTCCTTCTTCACTACAGCAAAGGTGTTTAAGAACGTAACTGTGTAAGTTCCAATTATTTATATTGTATAAACCTACCTCTAAACGACCACAAGACGAAACAGTCATAACAGCTGGCTCTCGAGTTCCATCTGAAACAATCAATATTCTCAAAATTCTCACTTTGTCATACAATAAGTGATGACCTTCTTATGAACTGTTCAAAAATAATTCTCACTTTATGAATTATGTATCTGTTCCCTTGTCACCGGGTCGTAGAACGCAGCTCATGACGGTCCAGTGATCTTAACGCCCCCTACTCATCACTGTCCAGCGATCGGCAGCTCGGCGTCAGTTTTGTTTAATTTGAGTTTGTTAGGCTATTGCTATAGAATTTGCTGTCTGTAAATTTCATTCTCTACCATTTTATTATTATGCTTTTTAATGTGTTGATTAGATATATGTTATCTCTCAAGAGAGTACAAGCATGATGAAAGTTTTTATTTGTTTATTTGTTGTTTAACGCCGCACTCAGCAATATTCAAGCTGTGTGACGACCGTCTGTAAATAATCGAGTCTGGACCAGACAATCCAGTGACTGACGAGGTCAGTCAGCTTTAACGGCTAGCTAGCGCTGGTCGTCTTCTCCGAAGTCACTTCACTCTCAAGTAGCTCATCGCTACCGAGTGTAGTTATCGCCAGGAATCTTTAGACCTTGACGGGTCACTCTGCGACTGTGAGATCTGCAGAACTTAGTATCCCCTGGTAAGTTGTTTATTTATCAGTTATCTTAGCCTGTGACAATTGGACTCTAGTCACTTTTCATTGTCTCTCGTTAATTATATGTAGCTGATAATAACAAAAACCTTTAACTTTTTCCACCTTGTCTATCATGTCTTTATTTACATTCATTAACACTCTAGTCACAGGGCTCAGCTCAGACACGAGCATATTCTAGGAGAATCATATTTTTAAAATCCTTTTGTCGTATATTTTTTAATTATGTGTTTAAGTATTTTGAGCACCAAACTGTTAAACTAAGTAGTACTTTGGATGCTTGAGTTCTAGGCCGCCGTCATATAGCGGGAATATTGCTGAGTGCGGCGTCAAACACCAAACAAACAAACAAACAAACTGTGCATTATGTTATGACATAGACTCTTCGGTATAACATATATTACATATTTTAATTCATTAATTTCATAACTTTCGTGTATAATATGCCTGAATGCTGGTTATTGCAAGTATTTTAGAGCATCAAACACTGTGTTACTGAGTATAGCAATATCTGATACTTGAATAAATTAAATGTAATCTTTTCCCCCTTAAATTACGCACAAATACATTGTAAAGATATGCTGTATAAAGACAGGCACTTACCTAAAACCCAAAACACATAGATCAGCATCGCAAGGAGAAGACCAGCTAACAACGCCTTTAGTCTCGCCATGGCGCGTTGAATGTGATATGTGTCTGTTCCTACTACTGCAATTGACACGAGTCATTTAATAAAATATTCCAACACCGCGTTTACTGTATCAACCACCAACGTATTATCTAACCAAGGTACTTACAATTTTATAGCACCATTACTGGCGTCCCAGTCTGTATGTATCTATCCAACTCAGCATCAGAATAGGAACACTAATCTGTGTTTGGAACACTAAAGTGTTTGGACAGTTATTGACTCATAAAGACTGTACTTTATGACTATTTGTTCAAACGTTCGTGCATATAACAGAATTAATGTCGTGTCAGCATGGCATACACTTGTTAGGAGTGAGTGAGTGAGTTGGGTTTAATGCCGCTTTTAACAGTATTCTAGTTATTTCGCGGCGTGTCAGCTTAATGTGGGAGGAAAGCCCGAAGTGAAGCAGGTCTCAGACGTTTACCACTTCGGTGAAACCCACGAGCACGGGTATGGTGCGGACAAACCTAGAAACATAATCGGGGCGAACCGGGATTCGAACCCACAATCATAGGTTTCTGGCGTGCCCAAGGGGCGCAACTCTGCACAGCGAATCGCGGCGCCTTAGACGACTGGGCCACCCGTGCCCCCTCACTTGTTAGGAAATGGTAAGTATTTATAGCTTGTATAACATAGGATTGATGTCAACATACTGTCTAGGCCATGCACGACATCCCACAAGCTTATACGAATAGGCCATGCTACAACCCCCAGTGTAACCTAACCCTCAGTGTAACCATGAACGGTTGTAACTGCTGCCCCTAGTGTAAACGTGGGCACTAAGCGTATCCGCAGGGGTTGATATTGCAACCGCTACTGTTGACTAGTGAACACTAAGGATTGGTGCATACATCGTGCAGATTTCACATTTTTAGATGAGTCAAAGTCAAGTCAAAGTCAAAGATGTTTATTGTATCAAAGGCCATCGGCCCATATACAAGTTCAGATAAATACAGTGGGTGAGAATTTACAGATTGGGAGATACAACAAAAATTATATAAATATAACATTCATTTAACAATCGGTGATAATCATGAGGACTTTCTAGGGTGAGGTAATTAAAATTATGAATTTCCACTCAACATGTTATTTCGTAGTTCCATCCCATGTTTTACAAATAAAGACAGTTTAAACATTACATCGGCATCATTCGATGACAAAATAGAAACAAAAGCTATTCTACTTGTCTTAGATAAGAAACATTCTGGTATATATTTAGTACGTAATTCTGCATAATAAGGACATTCAAAGGTAAAATGTATTTCGTCTTCTATTGCAGAGTTACAGAATGGACAAATTCTTTGTATTCTTTCAAGTGATATATTCCGTCCATAGTTAATCATAAGTTTTGACAAGCCAAGTCTGTATTTAATATATCCATTTCTTAGGTGACTATTTGTTAAAACTGATAGATATTTTTCTGGCTCTAATAGAGTCTTAAATGTTCTGTACAAATCATAACGTGAACTATTTTCCAAGTTGCATTGCCACCCTTGATAGAACATATTTATTGCTATTTTACGAAAATCATTTAGAAATAAATGTTGATCACCAACAGATTGGTTAAGCCATATATACCCATATCCATGTGAGAATAATAGTGTCCTAATATGCGATACCCATGTAACCTTACCGATACTATCTAAATGAAAGAGCATGTTATAAGCTTTTTTCGGAAGCCGATGTTCTGGCATACGGATGATATTAAACCAATATTTTAAACACTTTATTTGTGAATTAATGTAAAGTGGGTATCTTCCACATTCTCCATATATCATATTATTTGGTGTTGCTATTCCAACGCGAAGAAACTTTTTACATGCCAGTAGGTGAATTCTTTCTAAACATTCATATCTTCGGTAACCCCACACTTCAGATCCATACAATAAAATTGGCTGTATTTGAGTATCAAATAATTTGAAAAATACTTTTGGAGTAATAACTCCAAGTTTATGTGAAACAGACATTATATTAAGTAAAGCTCGTTTCCCTCGCAGTGATAAGTCAGATACACATTTGTTCATATTTAGTGTTGAATTAAACATTATGCCGAGATACTTATAACCATTAACTACATTAATTTGTTGTCCATTTAAGTACCATCTTTCCCTAAAATTTAAAGGACCCCCTTTTCTGAATACTATAATTTCTGTCTTATCTAAATTTACAGATAAATTCCATTCCTTAGTATATTTATCTAATACATTCAACTGATTCTGTAGACCAATAACAGTGTCAGATAGTAAAATAACATCATCGGCAAAAAGGAGCATAAGAAGTTCAAGGATGTCAGGATACATCTGTATACCATGCTTGCCGTTACTTGAGATTTCATAATATAATTCGCTTATGAAAAACGAAAATAACAGAGGACTCAGTATACATCCCTGACGTAAACCAGATGGGCAATCGATAAAATCAGTAACACCATAATCACTACGTACACATGACTTGATATTTGAATACATTGATTGTATTATATTAAACATCTTCCCTTGTAGTCCAGCTTTTCTTAAACAACACCATAATTTATAACGATCAACTGTATCAAATGCCTTTTTAAAATCAATAAAAGCAACGTAAACCTTGTGTTTACGACGTGTTAGACATTTTTGAATTGCAGCATATAATGTAAAAATATGATCTACGGTTGAATAATTTTTTCTAAAACCAGCTTGAACTTCCGGTATCTTATCTCTCATATTTGCCCAGTTAGTAAGCCTGTTATTCAAAACAGAGGTAAAAATTTTCCCCAGAACACTCATTAATGAGATCCCCCTGTAGTTGTCAGGGTTTCTCGGATCGCCTTTTTTATGTAGAGGGACTATTTCTGAACAAGACCAACTGTTTGGAAATATTTGATTATCAAAGAGTTTGTTGAAACATTTATGAAGAAATGGCATAATATCTAATTGGGAACATTTAAGCATTTCTATCAGCACTTGATCGGGCCCGGCGGATTTTCCTTTTTTTAACTTATTTATTGATGATGTAATTTCATGTTCAGTTATCGTAGAATTTAGTATGAATGCATCAATATCTGTAAACTGATTAGAACTGAGTTCATTTTCATCATCTAAGTGAGGAGAAAAAACATTGTCATTTGCAAAAACCTCTCTAAAATGGCACAGCCATTCTGCTTTCGTTATATGATTCTTCTGTCTGGGTTTGTTTTGTAATGATCTTATCTGTTTCCAAAAGCTAGATTGACTATTTATGCTTCTATGCAATCTTTCAACTGATTTCTTACGTGAAATGGATTTAAATTTTCTGCAACAAAATTTATAATGATTTCTTTGTCTACAGTACACAATTCTGTTAGCGACTGTTCTTTGTGTTCTAAATCTCCTAAGTGCCCTACGTGTTTCTCGTTTCGCTTGTCTACATTCTAGACTTAGTGGTTTGTGATTGGCAAATTGTGGATTATGTCGTATTGTCTTTTTCATGCAGTTAGCAGAGTCTAATACAATGTCGACAAAGTGGCTAATTGCGTTTTCAATAGCATTATCAATTTCTTTAAGGACCATTTCTTTGTTTTCAGTAAAATTATATCTCAGGTTATCAAGAAACAAACTGGAGTAATGATCATTCCATACAATTTTCTCTGATGCTTGTGGATCCATACATGAATCATTATTGCACCTCTTACCCATATTTGGAAATCTACACATCAATTCTAATGGAAAGTGATCAGAATCAGATCGATCACCGACAGTGAACATATTGATAAACTGAAAAAAATCTGGTGAACTTATAAAATAATCGTTCACACTAGATCCATGTTGGCTACAATAAGTAAATTCCCCATTAGTATCACCATATACACGTCCATTTACGATGTAAAGTTTAAAAACATAGCATAGATCCAACAACATTTGACCAAATCTATTTACAACTGTATCCTGTGAAGTACGATCCTCAACAGGGTCATCCTCCTCCTCAGGGAAAGGAGAGGTATGATTGAAGCTATCATCATTATTGCTAATATCAGGGTTATTTCTCTCACCTGTTCTAGCGTTCATATCTCCACAGATTAAATTGTATGAATTTGAAAACATTTCATCATTATCTATTAAGAATTCTTCTACTTTTACAATGTTACTATTGGTGTTTACATGATTATAATAAGGAGACCCCATTGGAGGGATATAGGTACATAACAAATTCACATTTTTGTCAATTCTAAATAAATCTTTAGATAACGAGAGACCAATTATGTTGTCTCTATCTGCTTGTATAACATTACAGAAACTACTCAGTGATTGACGTACACACAGACAAATACCACCTGATAAACGTCCATAGTTGGATAACTTAACTGCAGGACAGTAAAAAGTATCATATCCATGTAGCCAATGTTTTCCTGGAATATTTACAACAAATGTCTCAACAAGGCACACAATATCAAATTTACTGATGTAAGTTAAAAAGTCAACATCATTTATTTTGCTGAGAAGACCACCAATATTCCAACATACAAAGGAGAACGCGTCTCTGTTGACATCAGTAACACTGTGAGCGCGAGTATCACCGGTGTGCACATCGGAGGTTCCTTGTGGGAGATGATCCGGGCCATGGCCATTGTGCTATTTCCCAGGGCGCGACTTACTTCTGTTTGGTCGAAGTCTGTCCGACATTCGGTTTTCTGAGTCTTGATTTGTAGATCCACGTTGGTCAGCCGACGTACGAGGCATCGTAACAAGCTTGCCATTCTTGAAGAAGCCGAAATTTCCCGTTCCTTTTAGGGCTTGCAATTGTTCGCGTTGACGCGTGGTTAAATCACTTCCAATTCCAAGTCCATTCGATTTAAATGTCGCTCTGGCTTTCAATGTTCGTACCTTGTCGTCGGAGAGTACCAGTTTTGCAATTATTGGTCGTGGTCTTTCACTACCAGGCTTCTTCACACCGAGGCGATGGGCGCGTGCAACGTCAGTCGGTTGCCAAGTTTTGAATGTTGCGTTTTCATTAAGTACGGCGATCGCTTTTTCTTTACAGGCTATAGATTTTTCGCCTTCATCTTCACCAACACCATAGATAATGATATTATCTCTTCGGCTAAACGACTCGAGTTTATCAAGTTCAACATCAATTTGCGAAAGTTTGTCATTTATGATATCCACTGTCTCAGCAACCGCATCGACGTCAGATTGCATTACGTGGTTCTCAGCTTCAATTTTCTTCATGTCTGATTTCAGTTCCGAAACTGATTTTTCTAGATTGTCACACTTAGTTCCGATACTTTTGACTTCTGTTCTTAGATTAGAAATGTCGTTACCTAGGTCGGATTTGACGTTTCTCAGTTCGGTAAGGATTGCTTCTTTTATGTTGTTAAGATCTTGTAGGGTAACAGGCCCGGGGTTTGTCTCCACGTCATTTGCACACAGTAGCATAAGCGCTATGACACGCTTGGGTAGCATGTGCTCGGGGTTTGTCTCAACCTGATTTGTAGACAATAGTATAAGCGTCATAACACGCTTGGGTAGCTCGTGCATCTCACCTGGATCGCATACATTTCGTGTATGGGTCAACATCATGCAGTATGTGTTTGACGTGACGTCACCAAAGGTGTTGGGTGATACCTTGTTCAAATCACCAATAATATTATGATGATCATATGTTAAGTCAACAAAGTAGCTTGCAAATATCCTGTGATATTTAACACATAACGTTCCCAAACCCATGGTTAGACTGCAGACAATAGCCACACTCAGAAGTCGATATGCGAAGCTCATACCTGGTGTCCATCTTGTCTCACCTGTGTAGCGTTCAACCTTGTCGACGTTTCTATGTCCACGGGGAGGGATGAAACACCCGATCCTTGCTCGCCAAACATCGAGCGTTATACCCATAGTGATCTAGATGCAGATTTGGATGCAGAGTTGTATTAGTGAGCCATCTTTTCGACAATATTCACAATTTTGTAGGACAGCTGAAACCTGCGACTTCTCACCTTCACGCATGCGCACCCCCTCGTGAAACTAGTTTTCGTGACATAGGGACATTTTAAAGCTAATTACAATTCAATAATTCACTTTGTGTTGGGGAAATGTAAACAAACTCCTTGGTATCAGTATTTCTCGTCTCAATGCTCAGATAAACCAAACTATAACACTAGTCATTTGTACTTTTTTTTAAAACTATATATTTATTTTTTAAAAGTGTGAGTATTGTTTTTAAATGTGTGTACAATATTCTTAAAACGTAGCCATCCATCTTTTCGTAATTATAGTCGCATCCCAAAAGTTTGTTCATCTGCTTTTGATATTACTGTGTAATATTGCCTGGCGTGAGCGCCAACTTGATACCATTGAACAGTGCAATCCTGTAGTGGAGTTAAGAACATCCTGCTTCGACTAATTGTGTGCCAGTTAATACAATGTTGTTTATTAAAAATGACCATTTAGGGTTCGAACAAACAGGTTGTGTTTGCGTAAGATATATTTTTAAAATTTAATATTGTATCAAATAGTTAATGATCGTGCTGAAAATGTTTTGAGATCTCAAGTACAGTTACACTCCTATTGTTCATTAATATGGACAAACACGGACCATGATGGCGACTTGGTGTAGAGACGTTGCTAAAAGATGATCAGGTAGAGCATAGACAGTGGTGGATGCGAGTTGGCGTGTGAGCTAGTGAGTGATGTTTTACTAGTCAGCACTTCTCCACCAATATTAGGGGAGGTCGGGTAGCCTAGTGGTTAAAGCGTTCGCCCGTCACGTCGAAGACCCGGGTTCGATTCCCGACATGGGTACAATGTGTGAAGCCCATTTCTGGTGTCCCCCGCCGTGATATTGCTGGAATACTGCTAAAAGCGGCGTAAAACCATACTCACTCACTCACTCCACCAATATTATGGAATCTTAGCAAGGATCACAAACCAGTGATTGATATAATGAACGGCGATCCACGCAGTCCTTGATTCACAATCAGTGAGTACTGTGGCGATCTTGCTCAACCGGAATTCCCACGGATTTTGAAGTGGGGAGGAAGCGCATGTGCATACATCTAATTGTAGAAATGGATCAGTGGCGTCCTAATGTCCCGTTAAATGGATTTTAACAATGACCGCAAAGCCATAAAACCATAACCATTGATGCAAATATACCACCAGGCTTTAATGACACAAGTGACAGTGCTCAGTTGGTAGAGGTTCGGTCAGCTTCATTTGTTGGCTCGCTCTACATTAAGGGCAACAGCTGGAATGGCACCGTATCAACAGGTCTCGACGTGGAAACGACACTTGTTTTGTTGGTGCGATGATATATTAATAAATTAATAAAACAAAAGCATTAGGTTAGTATATCCAATTCTAGTGCAGTTTTCTCCATCGGAGTTCTGGATTTCATTTCAGAGCAATCCATAATGTTGAAATACAGTCTGTGATTGAATGAAAGGGAGCAATTATTTGATTTTCATGGGAGAGGGGAAGAGATTTTTCTATAAAAATACGCAAGTCTATATTTTACTGTGAAAAAAATGACATATGTCTCACATAGTAGGAAACAAATAATGTGCCCTTTTATTGCAAACAAGTGTCCAAAGAACATAGTACACCTCCGTATTCTAATGGGAAGAGCGTCTTCGCGGAAGCCCTGTGGTTCGATGCTCTTGTTGTTTGATACCAAAAGACGTGAAAAAATGGTACTTGTGGTCACCTTGATTGGCGCTCGGCAGTAAGGTCATATAACAGGGGCTGGTCGGCTCGTAGTCAGTATACTGAGTGCCTGAGTTGTCCATGTAAATCTACGGGACAGTACCTCACTGGGCGAGCACTATAAACCCGGCATAAGTCCGGAATATAGTACAAGCAGCCACGCACATAACACACTTGCATTCACGTCTCTATATAAGTGCAATACTCTTGAACGCGACGTTAAACCCCATTTCACCTCACTTCAACTTTTTCCTTCTTGCAAGATCGTGTGGCTAAATTAAGCTTGAATGTACCAGATATCCCGACCTGTGCCAGGGCTGTTCCAAAGAGAAACAAGGAATGGTAACACACATGGTGTCAAGGTTAGGCTATGGCCACTCAAGGACAGACGTTGGAGCAGGGACAATCTATCACATTGTTTAAATGTGATTATCATACCGAGATGTCAGAAGGATGAGATCTGATTCGTTTACGTAATGTTGGTAAAATGCTATTATCCCGCCATGGAGAGAAATAAATTTCTGAGCGGGAGAATGAATCCCTTATACCCCGCCACGAACAAGACAGGTTACACGAGGATTTCTGTGAGTGAGATAATCCTTTATACCCCACTTCGAAGCTAAAAGCCTCACGTTTTTTTCCCCGAGTTAAAGAAAGTTACGTGACATAGCACAATATACATCAGCCCAATCGAACAGCTGTTTTGTCAATGTTAAATTTCTTTTTACAATGTCAAATTAAAACTTATCGGTAAGATAAATGTGTTGAAGCAGTCCCACTCGGGGTAGATGTGGTTTTATGCGTCCCTCGTAAGGTACGCATAAAACCACATGTACCCCGAGTGATACTACTACATCTTATAATGCACATCTTCACGCACAAAACATTATCAGCCAAATATGTCAACAAACTTATCACATGTCAATTCAAGAGAATAACCAGTCTTGACTATCCGCCGAAACAGATTCCATTTGGTGCAAAGGGCATATAGCTGTGAAAGTTACATGAATGGATCACTGAAAAGTGATGACACCAGGACCCACTTGCACAAAGCGATCTTAGCGCTAAGATGATCTTAACTCCCATACTTTAACATAGGCTTACAATAGTTGTAGTGCTAAGATCACTTTGTGCAAGTGGGCCCAGGACCCACTTGCACTAAGCGATCTTAGCGCTAAGATGATCGTAACTCCCATACTTTAACATAGGCTTACAATAGTCTTAGCGCTAAGATCGCTTTGTGCAAGTGGGCCTAGGTGTTCCCGAAGTGGGTGATCATGGCCTGCCCTACCGGTAGCACCCGTCATTCACACAACTGCATATAAAAGTAAGTTTTTATTGCCAGACGCCGCACAGCAATTCTCCGTCCGTGCGACGGCGGCCTGTAAGCAAACTAGACGAACCAGAAAATCCAGAGACACGATAGTGCGTTGACTGATTTTGTTGAAACTAATAAAAACGATATGTTAATTTTGAATCACGTCTGCTGTGTACAAGTGCAGATATTCTACTGCTTATAAGTAGAGAAAAAACGGTTAAGAAATATTCGTTTGCAACTCAGGGCAACCTTAATCGAGGCCAGCAGCGATATTTTACGAGCGCCTCGTTTGTCACGATGTGCGTTGAAACGGGGTTCAACGTCGCATCGAGGATTATTGCATAAGATAGTCGTCCCTTACTACAAGCATCGGTTGTTGAACATGAATTGTAACCCGGATCTTTACGGGTGTTAACAATAAGTTCCATCTTTCACCTTCTTTTTAATATGATGCAACCAGGGATCGAACCAAAGACCTTCCTCTCTCCGGGCAGGCGTTCTATCCACTACACCACCGAGGCGGTCTCGCTTGTCACAGTGATGCCAACACTGCTTCTCCACATCATAGCAGTTGAGTGTGTGACGTGGTTATTGCGCAGCTTGTAGTGTTATTTAATTATTAATGACGCCAGGATGGATTTCAATGAAAGTGTGTTTAATATTGTTAGACATGACGAATCGACCACCGGTCTGCCGCGTTACGAGAGCTTGCCTGAACAAGTAGATGGAGCCGTT